CAGCAGAGGACAGAAAGAACTGCCGCTCAGCAAGAGTGGTGCGAAGCGTGTCGTGCCACTCACGAGGTGCCTGACGAAGGCCTTAGACAGGACGGCGCAGGCTCCACTCGGTCCCATGTGGGAAGGACCCAGAGAAGCCTAGAGGGCGCCGGAGTAGATCTGCTCGTGCAGACTACCCTACAGGAACGCTGTGGAGAAGTCGACTGAGTGAAGCTCGTTGTCACGCTGCGCGGCTATGTGAAGAAGGACCCGAAGAGTAGTCATCTTCGGGGTTGGGGAGAAGGTCTGGAAGAAGTCCACACCTTCACGCTGACTGAAGCCTCTAGCCACGTAACGCGCCTGGAATTTTAGCAGCTCTCCAGGCAGGTGTGCGCTTCACCCTGTAGATCCACATGCCATCGACTACGTTCGCCCCAGGCGGGGGAACCGCATCGACGTAAGTGCCTGTGGATCTGTAGGATGCCTTTTCAGCCTCCATGGCCTGTATCCATGGGGTTGCCCAGGGCCCTGACACCGCCTCGGCGTAAGAGTGCGGAACAGGGATGTCGAGAGCGTCTGGGTCGCCCTCTGGGGATACAAGCATAGAGCAGAGATGGTGAACAACGGCAGCAAGGTAGGCCAACTCGTACTGCCTGTCCTCTAGCACGTCACTGCCAAGGGAAGGTGCACCCTCGACGGACGGAGGACGGGCAGTACCAGAGACCGGAGTGGCAACGTACTGTAGTCAAGGCGGTGGCTAGCAGCGAATTCAGCGACAAGCGCAGAGACAGTCTCAGGAGGAGCAGTAGGGTCAGTGACAAGCGACATAAGCAAGCGTGAGAGGGTAGGACGAGCAGCGAGAGCAGCGTCGTAGCGAGGAGGGGGGAACGACGGAAGCGACGACAGGGGAGGCAACGGGAGGATTGTGACTGGAGGAGCATGCAAACGAAGAACCATAGGGTGGACACTAGGACGAGGAGAGACAGGACGAGCACCAGAGGGGCGACGGACTTAGTGGGGAAAAACTGAGGACTGGGGAAGAAAGGGAACGAGGGACAAGTCTGGGGACGGAGGGGAGCGCGGGGGAAAACGAGCCGCAGAGGAGTCCGGAGGAGGGAACAGCGCACTGTAAACGGGTCACGCACCGGAGGGGGAACGGGCGGGCAGACAGGGGAACCTGGAGCAAGACCAAGGAGACGAAGGACAGACTGCGGTTGCTCCTGCTGCGGCGGCTGCGCCTGCTGCTGTTGCTGCTGCTGCTGCGGCTGTCGCTGCGGCTGCAACTACTTCCTGTCCGCTCCAAGACCTCCAGCGGTAACACGGCTGCCACTGGCACTCCCCGAGACAGCACCCCAAAGACGAGCACCCTCAGACGCACCATCCACAGAACCAGCACCCCCAGAGTCAGCACCCCCAGAACTCGCACCCCCAGAGTTAGCACCCCCAATACCAACTCCACCATTACCAACAGCCCCAACACCAACACCGCCAACACCAGCACCCCTAGAACCGGCACCCCCAAAGCCCACTACTCCCTGCTACTGCTGTGGCGGCCGCTGAGTCTGCTGCGGCGACGGCTGCTGCTGCGGAGGCAAGGGAGGAGGTGGCTGAGGTACCTGGGGTACCGAGGCTGGGGGGGGTGCCACAGGGACAGTAGGCGCGCCCCTAGCAGCTGGGCCCCCAGAGTCAGCCGACTCCCCCACAGGCGCAACCAAGGGGAACTGAGTGGCGTGGGAGACACCAGACTAGGCCAGGTGGAGCGGGAGGGGAGAGGCAGGCGGGGTAGGGACAAGGAAAAGAGGAGGAGGAGGCACAGGAGCACTGCGATGGGGGAAGCGATGATAGTAGGGGAGTGTCTCGTCGAAGGTAACGTCACGAGAGTGGTAAAAGCGGTGGTGTGACGGGTGGTAGAACAGTCAGTCAGAGGCGTCAAGCGGAAAACCCAGGAAGACACAAGGAAGGGTGCGGGCTGAGAGCTTGTCCGCAGCAGTGTCGCGGACATGAGCAAGGCTGCCACAGACGTGGAATGTAGACACTTCACCAGGACACCCGGTCCAGAGGAGGGTCAGCGAAACCTGTGGCCGCTGGGAGTGTGGCCACAGGTTAAGCTGGTGACCAGCATAGCGCACAGTGAATGGCCACAGAAAATGGGGTGCATTGGCGTGGACCATGGAGGTGCGAGCCACCTCCATGATCAGGCCGATGCGTTGCTCAACAACTCCATTTTTGCTGTGGGGAGTCCTGTAGTGTGTACGTTTGGTGGATGCCCTTTGCACGGAAGAAATATCATAGAGTGCCAGAGACGAACTCGCCACCTTGGTCAGAGTGTAAGCGATCTACAGGCAAGAAGAGGTGGGTGCAAATAGCAAGAAGCCACGGGAGGAGAACGGTAGGCACATCGGCCTTCCGCTTCAGTGGGAACACTGTGGTGAACCGCAAGAAGTCATCAACGACGACTAGGAAGTAGCGCTCTCGGCTAAGACCATGGACCAGGGCAGGGCCCCAGACGTCCATGTACAGTATCTGTAGTGGCGCTATGGTACGAGGAAACGAGGAGGAGTGAGGGGTGGCACGCTTCCGGCCCTCGACGCAGGAGGTGCATAGTGGCGCTACCGACGGAGGCAGGGCGAGTAGCGACGCAGGACCAGTGACTAGCGCATACTGGGACATATGCCTAAGACACGGGAGCGCAGGGTGACCTAAGCGGTGGTAACACAGAAGGGCCGGGTGGGCTAATGAGTGACAGGAGCAGGACGCGGCGACCTTGGCAGGCGCAGTAGCCGGCGGAGACTCAATGTGCACTGTAAAGAGACCTGACCTAGGGTCACGCTCAAAAGTGGCTTAGTGTCGACCGATGACTGTGTCTGAACAAGCGGCGTGCCTCTTGCGGCCAGGGAACATAGTGGTGACGCCTCGGTCCTGAAGATAATCGACACCCACTAGGTTCCTGGCAAACGAGGGGATGTGCAGACCGGTGAGGTAGCCAAAGGGGACAGCTGGACAGGGAAGAGTGGTGGTGCTACGTGCAACAGCTGTGGCGGAGGAGTCTGCTAGTGCGACGCGGACCGGCGCAGGAAGCGGGGTGAGAGCTATACTGTCTCAAAAAGAGTACCGAGACGCGCCGAGAGCAGTGGCTGCAAGGGCAGTGGCGGCTGCAAGGGCAGCGGCGGCAGTGGCTGCAAGGGCAGCAGCTACAGCGGCAGCTGCAAGGGCAGCGGCGGCTGCAAGGGAAGCGGCGGCAGTGGTGGCTGCCACGGGCAGCGGCAGCGGCAAGGGTAGTGGCGGCAGGGGTGGCTGCAATGGCAGCAGCTGCAGCGGCGGTGGCGGTAGCGGTGGCAGCAGTGGCTGCAACAGTGGTAGGGACTGCAGCAGTTGCGGCAGGGGCAGTGGCGGCAGCGGAAGTGGCAGCGGCGTCAGCGCAAGCGGCAGCAGCGGCATTGGCAGCAGCAGCGGCGGCAGCGTAAGTGGCTGCAGCGGTAGTAACTGCAGGAGCTGCGGCAGTGGTAGTAGCTGCAGAGCAAGAGGCAGCAGTGGCAGCTGAAGCAGTGGCTGCGGCAGTAGCTGTAGTGGCAGCGGTAGTGGCTGCCGCGGAGAGGCACTACTGGCAGTAGTGGCGGCGACAGCAGCAGCAGTGGCAGCGGCTGCAGTGGCAGTGGCGGCTGCAGTGGCAGCGGCTGACTGTGGCTACAGCGGCAGTAGCAGTCGCAGTGGCGAGCTGGTAGGCGCTGCGGACGACTAGCTGCTGGCGAAAGCCGTGGGCAGCTAGTTGGCTGGCGGTGCTGGCGAATAGCTGCTGGCAGCGAGCTAGCGGAAGCTGCTGGCAGCAAGCTGCCTGGCGCTGCTGGCGCCTAGTTGGCTAGCACCGTTGGCGGCGAGCTTGCTAAGGCGGCGGGCTAGTGAGCTGGCTGACGAGCTAGCGAGCGAGCTGGCTAACTGGCTAGCGCGCTGGCTGGCGTGCCAGCCTGCTGAGTACCGCACGGAACAAAAATTCGATCGCTAGGGGGGGTGGGGGGGGAGCTTGAGGCTACGAAGCGCGGATTTGGAAGGCTACAGTGCACGGATTTGGAAGGCTACAGTGCGCGAAATTGAAAGGCTACAGTGCGCGAAATTGGAATACTACAGTGCGCAAAATTGAGAGAGGTGCACACGCGCGAAAATTAAGAAGCTATATTAACGACGGTAGCGGGAGTAACGGCGGAAGCGTGAGAAACGGCGGAAACAAAATCTAACCTAGCTCTATATTACGTTAGAGTAGCGGGGAAAGTTGTGACTAAGGGAAAATGTTGCTGGATACAAAACTAGGGCTGTACTCACTAAGAGCTAAACTAGCTAGGCTATAAACAAATATGACCTAGCTATGCTATATCAATATATTTGTTGACACTAAGCAGGGTAATTATCTTAACGTTTAGCATAGGACGCTGTAGATGTATTCCGATGTGGGTGTATTTATACGGGAGGTTGTTGGATTTGCGCATCTAACGGTGAGGGGCAGGAAAACAGAGAACAGGTGGTCGAGGGAGGCCGTGGTCCTCCAGCACACATTGAACAAGATTTGTCGGTATCTCAGGTGCCGAAAGCTGGTCGTTGCCGTGGCGAAAATCCCTCCTGAAATGTGGTATTGTACGTCAAAACTCCATTGTTGGTTGCGACTCAACGGCGGAACAGCACTAAGCAACAGCTGTTTCGCTGCTCGGTTCTGGACCCCACGAAGTTATGAGAAGTGGTATCCCTGTTAAGTCAAACATGCGACAAAGCCACCACCCACCAAGCAATTCGTTGCAAACGACAATGTCATTAGTAACCCGTCCTTGACGATATTCATTCCCACCTGAGTTTCCGTGCTGTTTACTTCCAGAGTCGCAGCGCAGGTGCTTGCCAGCAGACGAGACCTGTCTACAGTGCTGCGACGACTGATCGTTCTTTCACCTGCCTCGTGTCCTCGTCGTCCCACAGCTCGGCCCAGCTCGATGGCACGAGTGAGGCGGAGCAACAAGAGCCATTCCGCCCCGAGGTCGTTCCCACATCAAACAAGGGCTATCTCTCTCTCTCAGTCAATTGTTCTGCTAGTTTCTAGTTGTCAGGTCAGGCCAATTAGTGCATGCTAGATTGTTTTCTCCTCTGTATTATTTTACAGTAGTACTGAATCCCTCACTTCCTGCCGCTGACGTTGGTCGACGAGATGGGTAGGTTCGCCGTCGCCCTTATCTTAGTTCTTGCCTGCGTTGCCACCCCGCGCGCTTCAGGGATCGCATGGAACGATGGCAGGTACCAGGCGGACTTGGACAGCGGGCGAGTGACTTACACCTCGTGCGACACAGACCAGCTGTGCATTAGGAACTGCTCCACAGATAACCCCACGCGCTATTACATGGGCCAGTACTCGCTCGCGTTTTTGCGCTGCACAACGGCGACGGCGACTGACAACAAAAAGGCAGGGCTTCCCTACTGCGCGGGCAACGCCGTTCAGGTGGAGCAGTGCTGCGCGGAGTGCACCAACAACAACACGTGCTCCTACTGGCAGCACTTCAAGCCCGCCGCCTCCGCCTGCTCCGGCTGCGGTATCTGCATTCTCTACCCCCCGGGCTACGCTCCCGGCTGCGTCACAAACCAGATCACTCTGCAGCTCGCCGACGGCACGGAGTATCAGCGCAACCTCGCCAATATCAGTACCGTCGGCCACCCCTGCGGCGAGGGTGAGAACGACCCGCATTTCCGCGGCGCGCACGGCACGCGCTTCGAGTTCAATGGTCTTCCCGAGCAGTCGTTCTGCCTGCTCACGGACCGCAACCTGCACGTGAACATGCGCATGCGCGGGTACTATGACACGCGCACCACTGGCGCCTCCATTCTCAAGAACGGCAAGGCGGTGCGCACGTGGATCCGCGAGCTGGGATTCCTGTGGACCGACGCCGCCGGCAAGAAGCACTCATTCCGCCTGCTGGCGCGTGACGGCAAGAAGACGGCGCGCGGCAAGGGCTTCCTGAAGGAGATCGAGTACGACGGGCACGTGCTGCCGCTGCTGAAGCTCGGCGAGAAGTACTCGCTCAAGGGCGGCCTCACATTTGCGTTCGAGGCGTACGAGAAGGCCGGGCGGGGCTTCTTCGACGTGGACGCGTACCACCTCAAAATCGAGGGGCTCATCGAGATGGGCATCAAGCTCCGCGTGGCGCACCCGCTGCTGCAGACCAAGGACGACGCGGAGGCGCACTTGAACGTGCACTTCGAGCATATCTACAGGACCGACGACATCCACGGCATCATGGGGCAGACGTACCGCGACGGCCGCGAGAAGCGCGCGCTCGACTACAACACACTGTCGCAGGTGATCGGGCGACCCATCGCCGCTGACGGGCCGAGCGGTGCTGGTTTCCTGGACGGCAATGTGAAGGACTACCGCACGTCGGGTGTGCTGTCGCCTGACTGCCTCTACACCGCGTACGACGGCCACGACATGCCGACTATCGCGTCGTACAAGGGCATTCAAATGGCTTGATTCAGGTTAAAGCCCTGAGTTTAAGATGCTTCAGGGTGTGTAATATGCGGGGATAAAAATATCGTTCACTTTTACCTCTTCGCTTGTATTCAATAGGTTTCTCAAACCTGGTGCATTGGATTCCATTTCTTACAATTAATGATCTTTGTTCATCTTGGGAGAAGTGTTCTTGTACGCTTCAGAAGGCTGTGAGGCTGTGAGGGGCCACAGAAGCATTCTGCCTCAGCACACACTAGAACTGTGGCACGTTCCACTGAAGTAGTTTGTCTCAAAAGCTTGCTGCATCTGTGTATCATTTAGTAGTCCATTGACAAACTGTAACTCATACGCAGAGTTTGCTCATTATTATTGCATCCAACTCATTTGTACAAACATCCAAGGGCAATCGGCCAGTCTCTTCCCCAACCCTGAAGCTTGGGCGTCCTTATGACGAACAGCTTCCGTGCGTCCCTCACAAACTCACTGCACACAGCACACGGGAGAAAGCAGAAAGGAGACAGACAGACGTGAGGCAAAAAGAGAGAAAGCAAAGATGCAGCAATATAAAGGAGCAGAAGAGATACGGTAGTAGCAGCAGAGAGAGGAGCAGAAGAGATACGAGCAGAAGAGAGAGGAGCAGAAGAGAGAGGAGCAGAAGAGAGAGGAGCAGACGAGAGAGGAGCAGCAGAGAGAGGAGAGCTGACCTCCAGGGCCCATCGCCCACGAGGAGGGTGTCGCCGTCGGCGTCGGTGTAGGTGAGCTGCCATGGCGGCTGTTGGGCTGAGAAAATGTCAACTTATACATATTATCTATGTAGAAGTTATAGGCTAGACTAGGTGTGTGCTTCTAGTGAGTACAGCCAACTGGTATTTGTTCTATGTTTCTCTTCCTAGTAATTCATTCGTTTCTACGTTAACATGGTATCACGCTTAGGTTAGGATCCCCCCGCCTACCGCTTCCGCCCGTCGCGCCTCCTAGGCCCCGTCGCGCCCCCTAGGCCCCGTCGCGCCCCCCCTGGGCCCCGTCGCGCTCGTTAGGCCCCGTCGCGCCCCCCCTGGGCCCCGTCGTGCCCGCTGGACCCCGTCGCGCCTTCTAGGCCCCGTCGCGCTCCCCCTGGGCCCCGTCTCGCCCGCTGGGCCCCGTCGCGACCCCTAGGCCCTAACGCGCCCCCGCTGGGCCCCGTCGCGCCTCCTAGGCCCCGTCGCGCCCCCCATGGGCCCCGTCGAGCCCGCTGAGCCCCGTCGTACCTCCTAGGCATCGTCGCGCCTCCTAAGCCCCGTCGCGTCCCCCCCCTCTGGGCCCCGTCGCGCCCGTTCGGCCCCGTCGCGCCCCTCCTAGGCCCTGTCGTGCCCGCTGGGCCCCGTCGCGCCTCCTAGGCCCCGTCGCGCCCCCTCTGGGCACCGTCGCGCCCGCTGGGCCCTGTCGCGCCTCCTAGGCCCCGTCGCGCCCGCTGGGCCCCTTCGCGCTTCCCAGGCCCCGTCGCGCCTGCTAGGCCCCGTCGCGCCCCCCCTGGGCCCCGTCGCGCCCGTTAGGCCCCGTCGCGGCCCCCCTGGGCCCCGTCGTGCCCGCTGGTCCCCGTCGCGCCTCCTCGGCCCCGTCGCGCCCCCCCTGGGCCCCGTCGTGCCCGCTGGGCCCCGTCGCGCCCCTTAGGCCTCGTCGCGCCCGCTGGCCCCTATCGCGCCTGCTGTTAGCGCTCGCCCGCCTGGCCTCCTCCTAGTGCCGCTCGGCCTCCTCCTAGTGCCGCCCGGCCTCCTCCTAGTGCCGCCCGGCCCCTTCCTAGCGCCGCCCGGCCTCTCCTCAGCGCTGCCCGGCCCCTCCTCGTGCCCGACCGGCCCCAGCAGCACCAGCCTGGCACCTCCCAGCACCAGCCCGGCCCCAGAGCACCTGCCCGCCTCCCCTGCTCGGCCTGCCGTGTCCTCTCGGGCCCTGTGTCTTCTGCTCGCCTGCGCTGGGACGCCTAGCTGCTGCCCTACTGGAGAGTGCTGCCACCGTGTCCCCGCGCCGCTGTGCTCCTGTGCCACTGAGGAGCTGTGCCGCTGTGCCGCTGTGTCGCTGAGGAGCTGTGCCGCTGACCCTGCACGATGGCTGACTTTGTGCTCCGCCTGGACGCTGAGGGCCACGCCGCCTGGCTCTCCGATCTCCGCCGCCAGCTTACAGGTCAGCGCCAGGATGGCCACTCTCTGGTTGTCCATGCTGATGGCTTGCTCCCCCGCCCCCCTGCACCTACTCCCCTCCCTGCTGACCCCTCCTCTGATGACCGTGAGGCTTTCTCTACTGCTGCGCTGGCCTGTGCGGTCTGGGACTCACGCGATGCAGTAGCTCAGGTTGCTATTAGTCACGCCCTCCCTGTGTCTGAGCGCTCGCGTTTTGCTAGTGTTGAAACGGCCAAATCTTATTTAGACGCCGTTATTGCTCGCTATTCCACCCCTGCCTCCGCTTCTGCTGGCCGCTTGCTCTTTCCGATGCTGTTCCCAGACCTGGCTGCCTTCCCTACTGTCGCAGACTTTGCCACTCATTTGCGTGCCCTAGAGACTCGCTATCGCACTGCCAGCACTGCTGCCCAGCTCACTGCGCTCCCCCCTCCTTTCTGCATGACGCTCTATTTTATCGCTATGCGCCTGCCAGACCGCCTCGCTAGTGCTCGCGACCACTTTCTTAGCCAGCACCCGGGTGACCTCACCCGTGACCGCCTTTGTCGACACCCTCACTGAGATCGAGACTCGCCAGCGCACTATCGCTCAGTCGAGCGGTGCGCCGGCAGTCTCTATCTTTCACGGCTGTGCCCCATCCCAATGCACGTTTACTGACGTTTCGGCTGCGGTCGCCACGGCGACCCCTCTTACCGAGACGGCTGCTGCTGTCCACCCGCAGCAGCGCTCGCGTCGCGGTGGCCGTGGCCGCCAGGGAGGTAGGGGTGGTGACGCAGGTGGTGGTGGTCGTGGTGGTGGTGACGGTAGTCCGCCTGAAGGGACTACCACCGGTGGGCAGGAGCAGCAGCCCCAGCAGCAGCAGGACCAGCCCCAGCCGCAGCCGCCGTCCCAGCAGCACCCGCCGCAGCCGTGGGCTCGTCTCCCGCCTGGTTGGCCCGGCACCTCCGGAGGCGGTGGCCGTGGTGGCGGCCCGCAAAGCTTGGCGTCTACTAGCGTCTCCAGTGATGTGACCTGCCAGTACCAGCTTCAGACCGGGCCTCTCCGCGGCACTCTGTGCCGCCGCCCGCACCCGACCGCCCGCTGTTTCCGCCGCCTCGACGATCTTTTTCGTCGTCGCTTTGGCCCGGCCCCGGACCTCCCTGACTGGCACAGCCTGCTCCGCCAGGGCGTGCCGATCTTTGAGTTAGACATGGATCAGATAGGTGCTGCTTTGCATGCTTTGTATGCTGACGCTTCTAGTGTTGCTGGATCTTACTACCCTGTGTACTCTAGTTTAGGTGTTTCACCCTTGTGTAGCTTAGCTTCCCCTGCTGCGTCAGGCGTAGGACTGCCTAGGTTGCCTAGCCTAGCTTCTGCACCGGCCCCGTCCCCGGCCTCTGCCACTGCCTCGCTGTCCTTCACGCTCGACTCCGGTGCTTCTGCCTGTTTCTTCCGTAACCGGTCCACGCTCACGCCGCTTGCTGCACCTGCGGTTGTCTCCCTCGCTGACCCCTCTGTCGGTCCTGTCGTCGCTCGCAGTTCCACTTCCCTTCCCTGTCCAGCCGTTCCCTCGGGCTCTCTTACAGGCTTCCACATTCCCTCGTTCTCCAGGAACCTGGTTGGTGTCGGCCGACTTCAGGACCTCGGCGTCACCACCACGTTCCCTGGGCACGAGCGGTTCGCTGTCTGTACCGAGGCAGTCTCAGGTTCCCCTCTTGCGACGTTCCCCCGGGACCCGGTGTCTGGTCTGTTTACCCTCGACACCGCTTCCCCCCCGGTTGGTGCGTCCTCCCAGGTCGCTGCAGCTTGCTCGTGTCGGTCCCTCACTCACCCGTCCCTTCTCTGGCACCACCGCTTAGGTCACCCTGCTCTCCCACGTCTGCGTCACATGTCTCAGCACGGTCTTGTCTTAGGCCTCCCCGCGTCGCTCCCTGCCCTCCCACCCTCGATTGCGCCACCGTGCACGCCTTGCGTCGAGGGCCGGCTCCGCCGTGCTCCTCACTCCTCCTCGCTGCGTCCTGCTACTGCCCCCCTTCAGACCCTGCACCTGGACGTTTGGGGCCCGGCCCCCCCCGGACCGCGCGGTGAGCGCTACTTTCTTGTGCTCGTCGACGACTACACGCGCTACACCACGGTGTTTCCCCTGGAGCGGAAGGCCGACGTGCCCGACGTTCTTCTCCCGTGGGTTGTGGCTGCACGTCTTCACCGCGGTCTCCCTGTGTTGTGTCTCCACTCTGACCGTGGCGGTGAGTTCGCCTTTGGTCGGCTTGGACAGTTCTGTCGTGCGGAGGGCATCACCCAGTCGTACACCTTGCCGGACTTGCCACAGCAGAATGGGGTTGCTGAGCGCCGCATCGGTTTGGTCATGGAGGTGGCTCGTACCTCCATGATCCATGCCGATGCCCCCCATTTTCTGTGGCCGTTCGCTGTCCGCTACGCTGTTCACCAGCTTAACCTGTGGCCCCGCTCCCAGCGGCCGCAGGTTTCGCCGACCCTCCTTTGGACCGGGTCCCCCGGTGACGCGTCTGCGTTCCACGTCTGGGGTTGCCTTGCTCACGTTCGTGCCTCTGGTACGGACAAGCTCACGGCCCGCACTGTCCCCTGTGTCTTCCTCGGTTTCCCCCTAGACTCGTCTGACTGGCTCTTCTACCACCCGCCGTCTCACCGCTTCCTCCACTCCCGTGACGTCACCTTTGACGAGTCTGTCTCCTTCTACCGCTGCTTCCCTCACCGAGGTCTCCCGGTTGCCCCGCCCCTCTTCCTTGCTCCCTCTCCCCCGGTAGCCCCTGCTCCTCTCCCGCCTCGTCCTGCCCCGTCTGGTGTCTCTCACGTCACTCCCCTCCCGTCGGTTGTCCCAGTTGAGGAGTCAGCTGACTCTGGTGGTCCCCCCGGCCCGTCCCTGCCGCGTCCCCCTTCCCCGGTGTCTCCGCCTTCCCTGCCGCTGCCACCGCCGCCGCCGTAGCCGCTGCAGCCGCCGTCGCCGCCGCCGCCGCTGCCGCCCTTGGCCCCTGGGGGTGCTGGCGTCGAGGAGGGTGTTCGTCCTGCCGCGCCTGGAGTGGTCTGTCCCGGCGGGCCTGGGGGTGCCGCTGGTGCTGGAGGGTGTTCTCGCTCTGGGGGTGTTGGTTCTGGGGGTGCTGCCGTTGAGAGTTCTGCCGGTCCGAGGGGCGAGGCCCAGCCGCCGCAGCAGCCCCAGCAGCCGTCGCCGC